TCTCACCAGCTCAAGGTTAACTCAGCCTTCCATCCTTCCGAGGTGGGTAAAATGAGGACCCAGACTGTGGGGGCAATATGCTGACTCTTTAAACCGCTTAGAGAGGGCTGAAAGCCCTATGAAGCGGTATATAAGTCTAACTGCTATTGCTATTGCTAAGCCCTATGTTAATCAGTCACAAATGAGATCAATGCCTTGGACTAATAAGTATTTGTCTGGTTTTAAATATGAACCTCAGATTGATTACTCCAAGGACAAGGTTGTTGATCTCAGACTCCGATTACCCTGTGCCTGATGCCGTGCTCTAATATGGCAGAATGAGTCTTCAGGGATCTGCTGCAGTGGTGGTGCACCTCTCTCCCCTTCAGTGCTGCCCTGAACACTTACACAGCCTTCTCACCCACCATCATCCAATGGCAAAACACTTTTTTTCTGCTGTCTGGAAGTACCACGGATGCTTCCAAATGACATCTTTTGGAGACAGAGAGGTGAAGGAGGGAAATTTTATGCCAACATTCAAAATGCAGGTGCAGCAGCTTTCATTTCCCCAGATACACTGTATTTTTTGGAGCATAAGACGCACCGGAGTATAAGACGCACCAAGGTTTTGAAGAGGCAAATTTTAAAAAAAGTAAGTAGAGGGAGGGAGAGGGAGAGAAAGAGAGAGAAATACAGTAGGTAGGTAGGGGGAGAGAGTGTAGGTAGGTAGAGGGATGGAGAAATAGAGAGAGAAATACAGTAGATAGGGAGAGAGAGAGTAGGTAGGTTGGTAGGTAGCGGGATAGAGAGAAAGAGAGAGAAATACAGTATGTAGGTTGGGAGAGAGAAATAGAGAGAAATACAGTAGGTAGGAAGAGAGAGTAGGTAGGTTGGTAGATAGAGGGAAAGAGAGAGAAAGAGACAGAAATACAGTAGATAGAGAGTAGATAGGTACGTAGGGAAAGAGAGAGAGAAATGCAGTAGGTAGTTAGGGAGAGTGTGTAGGTAGATGGAGAAAGAGAAATACAGTAGGTAGGTAAATGTTTCCAGGTATATTTATCCATGTGCTGAAGAAGGAAATTGCTGACAATCTGCAGCATCTTAACACTTTGTTTCTGCTGCACTTGATCAATGTAATTCTCATCAATCAGTTAAAGAGCTTTCGGGAAGGAAAAAAAAGTTTTTGCACT